CCTCTATCAGTACTATTGTGTGGTGTGTCAGGGATTCACAGTGGTGGACGAAGTTTTCAGATCTTTTACTTAAGTAAAAGTAGTGACACCACGCTGTTAAAGAACTGCATTGAAACTGATACTTAAGTAAAGAAAATCTAAGTTTTATCAGGAACATTTACGTAAAAACAAAAGTTCTGAAAAGCATAGAAGTAGATTACTTAACCCCGCAAAAATACTCCAGTAGAGTAAAATGGATTATTATTTACTGTTGTAGTTGGTTGAGGTGAACTGTTAAACTATTTTGTATCAGATTGCAACTAATAATTATTTTCTTTATGAATTGATTTTATTTTCTCTATTCTCGATTGATTCATATGCTTTTAAAGAACATAATCCAAAGTGACTTAAACGATCAAAATATTTGCCAAGTAATTTCAACATCAATCGACTAATTTATTAATCGACTAATAATTTGAGCTGTACATGTATTAACTGTTATGTACTTTAATTTATATATATGTTCATTTGTGTTATGTGTAAAAATTGTAATGTGTAAAGTGACTACACAGACACTGCATGCTATTATAAACACTACAACATCACTTTCAACCTTGCAGAGTTTGTTGATTTACTGTCAACTGAATCATATTCCAGGTGACTACATCTCTAATCTGTGTCAGAGCAAAACTTCCTGACCTTCAGGTCATCTGAGACGTGTTTGCTTGCAGTTCAACATTCTTTCTCTGAATTCGCCTTTAAGGTTTCTAGACTGTCTCTGGCACTGATGAACACAAACAACCAGAGAAAAAGAAAATACAAAATACAAAACATTGAGTCTGAACCATGATCACACCGGAAAAACTAAATTAGGAAAAATATTTACTGCAACATGCAGACTAAAATAATGTTGATAATGTAGAGAGTCTGACTTGTGTTTTCATCATGATCAGCTGATGGTCTTATCTGAACTCCATGTTTAGCGTAATAATTCTCTGTATGAATACTGATGCTGCTCAGAAGTACCCAGTGATTAGGAGACAAATTTGAGGGGCTGTGGGTCAAATATATAACTTGTCTCTTGAACAAAATAAAATAAAATAAACAAGCAACTTTCATGGAGGCAGTGTTTATAACTACTGGATGTCCAGCACTACATTTATTTCCAGATTAAACAACATGTTTATTTATGCATTTAAACATTTAAACATTTTGTGCTAAATCTGAGGTTGTCATCAAGGACATTGCAAATCTTGTACATTCAAACTATAGTAATTTTTAAATTTTTGTGCTCTTCACTTCGCTTTGTTTTATTTAGTTTTCTTAACTATCTTCAATATCTCCCAGATACATAGGGCCTAACGTTCATTGGATTATAAAAAAACTTTCTATTACACTTTTGTCATACAATTTTGTACAGTCAGTATGTAATATCTTGTTTTGTGTTAGTCAAAAAAAGGTCAAACTATTCACATGCTTCTCTTGCAAGCAGTTAATCACACCATCAGTCATCATTATTGAGCTGCATTTTAAACCCCCGGGGACATGTTTGGTTGGCAGTTGGTAGCCTGTGGCCGTATCCTCAACAGTTCACACTTGAGGTCAGTTAACCTGAAACTATACAACAAAACTTTAAATTAATATTGATTTATTACTGATGTTATACTACAGAAAAATGTATTGTTCAAAAGTATTATCACACTAAATTCTAACACTTCTGTAATACATTTTGACTTCTCTCTTCTTGCTGACTTGTCTTTGACTCCTTAAAAACTGGAGCACAGGCTACTTGGACAGTCTCTTAGTAAAGTTAACCACACAGCAAGACATATTATTTGTCCAGTATTTGCATGAAGAAATCTCCAAAAGGCACAAACACGACCAAGATGCCAAGAAGTCCCGTACTGTACACCATCCTGCTGCCAAAAATACTCAACAGAGAACAAAATGTGGATTAATCCACCACTAAAAATAGTCCCCAATGAAACAGCCTCCTATTAGAGTATTATTTGGTGAGAATTACAGTCACCAGCTGTTTTAGGAAATTACTGAGCCTTTTAATAAGTATATATTTTAAATTGCTTTTAAAAGTATACACGTTCAGTAGAGAGGCAATGGCTTTGGGGCTGAGAGCCACAAGCAGAAGAGGGGAGTAAGAAAGTATTGAGAGTGGGACAAATACATTGTTGGTTTTGGTCTTTTCAGAGGATTTTAGAAACACCAATCTCACATAAACCATACAATTAAAACAGAAAGGCCAGCATAAAAACAAGGCCAGATTGAAAGATGCAAAGAAACACACATTTATCCAGAAGGCTAAAAAATCCATTTCACATTCAAATGAAATGTAAAATGCAGTCAAACCAAGAAAACATCTACAACTCTCGACAGTTCAGTCTCTCTAAGTAACTGGACAGTTATGGATCATTATATGTATCCCTTCCATGGAGTTTTAGGTTTTAGGTCTGTATTTATTTATTTACATGTATCTATTAATTAATTAGCGAGATATCACAAAAATGTGTTTAACATTCCATAACCCTGTTTCATAAAAATTCTGTTTACATATTTGTATTACTATTTTACCAATATTTTTCCAGTGTTACGTTCATGTACCACACACAAGTTGTATGGTGGGTGGGTTGGATGGTGATCTTTCCCAAACCTTAACCAAGCACACTGAGACAAAACATCCACTACATATTTGCTGTTGCAAATTAATAACATATTAACATGATTTTTAGGAAAGAGAGCTGTGTTTGCATAAATTAAATCTGGCATTTCAAAATCTTATAGTCACTATTTGTATTTTGATTTTGATGATTTAGACAGAAACAACACGTTCTTACTTCCAACTCGTCACATATGGACGCTTGGTCAAGAACACTTGGGGTCACTTTTTAACGAACCGAGTACCCCTTTAGTGTAATATTTCGATGGATTCTGCCTTGTTAAGCACATGTCTATTGTACAGTTCACAACTAGTGGTTAACATTGTAAAACGGCACATTGTTAACATTGTGTGATGTCATAATTTGTTTGGGTTTCTGCACCAAAACTACTTGGTTAGGTTTAGGAAAACACCATGCTTTGGCTTAAAATAACAACATTACTTATGTGACTTAACTTACGTAAATTAACTCATGTAACCTAAGTAACTTAAATAAAAACACTCAATGTTGACTTTTTGTTTCACACGGGAAACAAACTCCTAGTTAAAGTGGGTTGCTTAATTTAAGGATTCAGCAGGTCAGTTCCATATGTGGGTTCGAGCAAGTGGATATCTATTTTTTTTCACGCTTTACTCCACTTCTAAAAACACTGCACAGTCCGCTTAAATGCTGTGTCTTCAATCACATCCTGAAGTCCAGGTCTCTCTGCAATTCATTTCATAGGGTGATTAGCACGAAAGGATGTACATATTTGGATGTGTTCCCATTTTTACTCTGCTTGGCTGTTCTTGGTAAGAGATCATTTCTACATCATCAATTGATAAGGCAGTAGAAGCAATTAATTTATGTAGCACCTTTCAAGACTAAGTGAATCTACGTTCACAAGCTAATCAACAACAGATTAACACACATCCAAAGAGGGTTAAGTCATGGGCAACTGAACTTGACTGAAGATACTTGCAGACATTTTGGCTCTTGCTGTGTGGGATAAATGCAGTTTTTTTTTAAACAGTATGAGCGGATAGATAGATACATACTATATATACATTTAATCAAATTACCATAAACTAACTGGCATAGAAAACCTGGAGCAAGACATCTTTCTCTCAAATATTTATAGCTTAATTTTACATGTGAAAATTACAAGACATGAGGCAATGTTCCAGGGTCACATCAGGTTAAACACAGGGTCACACCTGTGTTTTTGTAAAAGTTCAGTCTGGTTTCCCTTTTACCATTTTTGTCTGTTTATCTGCAGCAAGACATATTTTGGGTGTTGCCATTTAGTGACAGGCTGAACCTAACTGTGATTCCACTGACATGACAATGACATTTGGATGGGACTGAAACATGTTAAGAACTTTTGTTTACTATAGTGAAGCAGTGAAGCAAACACATAGCCAGAAACATGGGTGAAGACAGGAGCTTGCCGAAGTGAGTAGGAGGATACATTTGTATTATTTTATCAGTTATTACTAATATAAATTATTATCTTCAAAGGAAGAATACATTATTTAGACAAAAGTTAAGTCAATCTACTAACCATTTGATTGTATATAGTATGATTTTTAGTCATATTTTATTAAGACAAAATATTATTTTATTGTTCTTTCATTATCAACATTTTACTTCTTCAAGCAGAAAATATTTCATTATTGTTCAGTAATTGATTAAATCAAAATGGGTAAATCAATCTGAAAAATATATTTTTTTCATAAACTGATTAATAGTATGGAAGAAAAGCTTTCTTAAAATCATAATTTTATTTATCATTTAGTGGTTGCTGTTTTCTTTTAAAGCACACACTTCACTTAAAGGAGATTATTATTTACAGGGTATACAAAGATTTATGAAAGTTGTATGTGATCCAGCAAGTACTCATTTGTGATTTAAATTTTTTGTTATTACTCTGTAAGACAGATGTTTAATCAACAACATTTTTGAGCCTTTGGTCAGTGGTTTTGCTGTATTGGGTGATAGCATAATATTGTTACTGACTGATATTTAATGTTATGTTAAATATGTTTGTGTAAGCCTTTCCAAAATGTATTACCAATCCTCCTTCTTACCTGTTTACATTTACCCAACAAGTTACCTTCTTACAAACACAGGGCTCGGTGCTTATACCATATCATTTTCTACCTACACTCCGCTCAGTTTGATATTTTGATGTCTTTAACCAGGAGGCCATGGGATATATGTCGAGAGGTCCCTGTCATTGAAGATGAACAGACGCCATGGAAAATGATCAAACTACTAAAGATCATTTCTCTCTCTGTTGTCGCTCTGATTGTGTTTGGATTGGCTCTATGTAGCAAGGTTTGTTCTATATACGTGCATGTTGACAACATGTGTCTGGGTGGAGAGGTAATCTGGCATACTGGGCAAATGTCCAGTGGGTCGACGAACTTTTGGGGCCAGAGTAACGTGAATTATTAAATTGTATAACTGTTTTAAAAAATGGGCCAATGATCGTCACGTAAAGCACGGACAACGGCCCAATCACAGCCTTACTAAAAAATAAAATTACTGCATTATATTTTCTATATTTTTATATTCTGATATTCTTTGTTACCTGCCACTTGAATTTTGTGCTTCCCTTTATATCAATAAAGACATTTCCACTATAAATTGGTGCAGAAAATGTCCCCAGAATGGAGGAAATTAAGTGTTTAATGCTAAATTCTTTTGGGTGAGGACTTCCAGAGGCCTATTAAAATATATTCATGTCTTGTTCCTATGACCCCAATCTTGTGCAATGTCACCACTCATTGGCTACGTATTTCGTCACACCCCTAATCTGAGCCTAAAGCTTCATTTATAGTCCTGCGTAGGGTCTACGTGCGTAGCTACGCCGTAGGCTACGCACGTAGCCAGGCATTTATGTTTGTGCGTCCGTGTGTCCGTCAATCTGCAATTACACCCACAAACACTAGTCGGCAGTAGCTCTACGGTGTCCACTGTAATGACTTTTGCCGGCCGAGCAGGCTAACTTCCGGCTTAGCCCTCCGCTAACGTGAATGGGGGTAAAATTGTATATGTGCGGCTGGTGTAGCCTTTTCAAATGTTATCGACCGAATGGATCACATTCTTCATTTCGCTGGGGTTGTGATGGTCAAATATGTTGATCCGCCAAGTTACAGCCGCTATTTTGGCTGCAAGTAAAAGTTACTTCAAAGCACGGGACACTTCCCGTCAGCTCGGCGGCATTGAGAGGCTGCCCAGCCGATCACTCACAGTTTTTACGGTCTGGTCGCCTCGACCTCTAGTTAAATTTTTTGAGGAAGTGCACGTCAGGTTATGCCGTCGATTCGATGCAGGAGTATAAATTTAATTTAATCCTAAATGGAAGGATGGTGTATTGGGGTGTCTAACCAATTTTGGTGGGCCTCCTAGGCCAAAAAGGCCAGGGCAGATTTTTTGTCGCTGTCCAGCCCTGATTGAATGACAGAACAAAGCTGTTTTTTGAGGAAAACCTGTAGCCTCAGGGCCATCAATATGTATATGTAAATAAGCACTTTAGCAAGGTTAAAGGCTTGAATGTCTTTCTAATCTAGTTATTTTAATAAAGCACTTCTATTTATTTGTCTTGACTCAACTTTGTTCTCTGCTCCAGACTTCGTTCCTCCTCCTCATCACCTTGTCCAATGAAGGCACCAAGACCCTCCCAGCTGAGCAGAAACCTGTTGCTCTGCTGTGTGTTGGCTTCTCTCTCATCACCTCCAGTGTGCTTCTCTTACAAAAGAGCTTCTGGAAGGCGTGTTACAAATCCTCAAAGCTGCCGGCCAAGAAGACCGTAGCATTGGTGAGAAAACTAGAAAACTTTTAACTGTCCCTCCTTTTTTGATTGATGCCGTGAAGAATTTGCGCGCTATTTTAAAGTGACTCTCCTATTTGCGGGCAATTCAAACTTGAGACACAATCCCCACTTTGCTTTCACAGTTTACATGTATTACATAAAATGTTTCTATTGTTTTTATTTTGATTGCATCCTCTAATCTACTGCATAGTAACAAGCACCTTATTTAGCATGTCAAACCCATTAAGCTAATCAACTAATACAGTCTGCATTGTACCAATACCATTAGTCACAATTTACAGATTAAATGCTTTTTTAGTTAAGTGCTAAACTATCAATTAAAATACCTATTTATTTCAGTGCACCTTCCAGGAATTATTTTATTATAATAATGATGGATGTTTTTCATCACTAATGAATCACTTCATTAGTGATGTAATGAATCACTTCATTAGTGATGTAGCTAACAGGCAGTTAACGTAAACATATTCTCACTCCCAACTCATCACTTATTGATGCAGGAGCGTAGGAGGGACATTGAACCTGGGGGGACGCTGAAATGCTAGGGCAGGAGAGATTATGAAGACACAGACAGTACAAATGCATTTAGTTATTCAAATTTTACACTTGTGAATCTGTGATTTTACCTGTGTCTCACTTGGCCCTGACTCTCCCTGCAATAAATGTTTGTGAACACAGAACTATCTCCAATGCAAACTCTGATGACATGCCATTGGCCTAAAAAGTCTTTTTACTTCGTGAGTTATAGTTATATCTGGTAGCTATCCATACAACTTACAAACTCGTCCTCCTCAGTTTTTTCTTCTCCTACTTCTGTGACCTCTGTCCTCTTCCTCTTTAAATACTGTAGTATGCTCATCTGTGTGTGACAATTTTGACTACTTTTAAATTGTTTATGGACACGTAGCAGAGACACATGCACACCTCAGGGCTAGGATTGGGTATCCTTTAAAATTTTACAATCTAGTATACCTAAACCAGTGATACCAATACTAATACTAATAGAGTACTTCATTTGATACCTTGCATAAAAAGACATCTGTTGAAGCCATATTAGTTGATTGGTAGCCTATTATTATTTTTATTGTTGTTATGGACAAGCAAGGTTATCTATTTTATATTTTTCTTGTTTTAAATATCTGTGACATAAAAGTATTGAGAAATGGTATCAGATCGCCCCTCATTCTAATTTGTTCAGCTTGCAAATTTTTTTTATGTTTGAATGAGAGAGGAGGAATGAAATAGTTTAGTGACCAAATAAGTTGTGGGAAACAAATTTAAGGTATTTTTTGATATATGTGTTGAAAGTAAACAATGGAAAATTATTTTATTAACTTTCGATCAGTCGCAAATCTCCCAAAAACGACAGTCACAAGTATAAAACTAGAGTTTGTTTCAACAACACATTCTCACTCCCGGCTCGTCACATATTGACGCTTGGTCAAGGCCCTTGGCGTTGCTTATTAACGCCTTTAACAACATAAAAGACGCACAAACAGAGGAAGAGAGAGGCTGCACATCCAGCCGATCAAACCAACTACATCTGAAGCAGCCACAGCTGCAGCCAGAGGCTCTGCGAGTAAAATCAGCTGATCGCTGCTGCGCCACAAAAGCGTTTAATTGATATCATGAAATGCAGTGATCGATCAGTGACAAGTGATGTGAATAGCAAATTAAAATGTAAAGAGAAGTGTTAAATGATACCAGAAGATGAAACCAATGGAAAGCCAGGCTTGTGGTGATAAACTTACACATAGACTCAGCGCATGCAGGCATTTTTTATACCGTTTATGGTGCAGGCCCAAAAAAGACGTTCTCGTTTCTTTCTTTCGGTGTATTGTTTGTGTGTTTGGCTGCAAGCAAAACCATAAAAATAGTATTTGTTTGTGCAATCTGGTTACAAAATGTGTCGACTGAAGTACTGGTTTGACTGGAGACATTTCCATTCAACTCTATTCTGGGTATACCCATCCCTACTCAGGACACATGTTTTTAAGGTCAAGGATGGTCACAGGGGCAAACAAATGGCTTAGGAGTTTGTCCTTGGTCATCCCACTCTCCGGACAAAGCATTTGTAGGGGCCATAATGATAAGCCATATCAACATGAATCTTACCATAAACTTGTGCTTTGGACTGTGCTGGCTTTGACTCTGTTGTGCTATTGCCTTTCTCATGTTCACCATGTCAGCGCTAGCACTGGGGCCGCTGGCCAGTGGCGGGTAGGCTATGTATTAAATGAAAATGTATTATATGAAAAATCAAAAACAAGCTACTAGACACTGATCTGACTTTACTGCATTTATTGTGAAGTATAATTTTTAATAATATATTTCATTTGCTGTGCAACAGGTTATTTCTAGAATGCGATTATCTTTGCTTGTTTATTATCTGTATTTTAGCTATTTTTGTTTAATATTATTGTCCTTTTTAAATCCCCAAGAAGATATTGATAAGATCCCTTTAAAATGCTGCCCAGCCACTATTGTTGACTGTATCTTTTATTATGGATATGTAGCCGACCAAACCACTGGCAGCCAATACAATCTGATTATTCCTATAGCATCTATGAACATAATCTTTACAACACAAAGAATTATTGTAGCAGTAACACGGGAGCAGCTGTTGTTGAAGCAGGTTATAGAGGAAGCTTTGCGTCATGCATAAAGCACAACAGGACTGCACCCATATTTTCTCTCTCTCGAAAAAGGCATCTCAAAAATGATTGTTGCCTGAATAAATAACAGCTGGTAACTGCTGAGTGAAAGCCAAGATTAGTTTCACTGGCGACATTCTGTTTATGGACTCAACGTCGGGGGTCGCTATAAAACAAATAGTAACTAATTTGAAAGAAACAGGCTAATTTCTATCAAAAGAAAGCGATGCTCTTTTCAACAACAGGATACTGTTAATATATCAGAATCAATCCAGTGATCATGTGGCTTAGATGTTACAGTGTGTAATCTTCATTTGCTCTGCAGAGACTAAATAGGCTTTAAATGCACCGTTAATGGAAAGTGGAAGTATTTCACTTGCCGGCTTGTTAAAGAGCGATACAGGCTGCTTTCCAACACGGCCAACAGTGCCTTGGTGTGCACTCACTGGATTTCAGTTGTATTAGTAAAACAGTAAAGCCTTAAACTGAAAATTTTCTAAATGTTTGCATCTGCCCAGCTCTGCTGTGACAAATGCCCAAGACCAGGGCTCTTCTATGAAACTGTGCACAGCCTGGATGACAGCTCATTTCAGTTAATGAAGCAAAATGCAGATTACAGACTGGTTAAGTTAGGAAGATATGAATGGAAAATGTAGCAAAATTAAAAGTAGAGTACTTTCCCAAAGAAAATACAACTATATAATAGTAAAAGTACAGTTTTAAAAAGGAACATGAAAAGGTGCCAATTGTGTTACAAGTACCCCTGCTGCAGGCGCTCTCACTATTGTCTTCAGGTAGGCTTTAAGTGAAAGCAGCTCAAAAGAAAAGTCTGTAATATTGAGGCACTTTGCTGCACCTGCCTCAAGCAAACTCTTTTTTTCTCCCTTACTTTTCAACACCTTGTTTTTGACAGAACACGTGTTGCTGCATTCTGGATCAGCTGGAGAGGCTTAAGAGACTTAATTGTGCTGCCTACTAGTCAGAGATGCTCACAAGTCTCTGAGCTAGAGTGCAAGTCAAGTCACTCATGGTTATAATGACTGTTGTATCACCTGCTGCGTTCAATCCAGGCTGCCTTTAAAACTGCATAGCTATAAGGAATTCTGTAATTGTAACCTGTTTTTCACTTATAGAGCACCACCATGTAATGTGTAATGCAATTAATGTCAGCTTATAAACTACTGTAAGTCAACACATCTCCCAGACTCTCATATCATAAATGACACTTAAGGGCAGAAACTACCTTTCAGTCAATAAGCAGAGGCTGCAGTCACTTTCTGGCAAGTGGAAAATTGAATTTGATGGGTTGTATAGGCAATTTAAAGGTATTTTAAAAGGTAAAAATTACTAGGTGATAATCTGTTAAATATAACTCTCATTGATGAAATCAACACTTTTCAGGGCAGAAACTACTTATAGTCAATAAGTAGAGGCTGCAATCATTTTGTGAATTTTGTGCAAGTGAAATACTACATGTTATGGGTTGTCTTGGCCATTTAAAGGTATTTTAACATGTAAAAATGACTCGTAAGTAAAATTATGTACAGTCATAAGGATAATTGCAAAATTGCGTGCAGCAGATACCTAGTTGTGTTAAGTAGGCAGGTTACAGGTAATGCAGCGAGGGGAATAACAGTAAGCACAGCAGACGTTTCCTATAAATAAACATTGTTCACGAGTCTTGCACCTCGAATCCGAGTCAAGTCTGAAGTTTTTTGAGGACGAGTCTCAAGATGAGTCTGAAGTCACTGTGTGTGCGACTTAAATGTGACTCGAGTCTCAAACTTGAGTCCCCATCTCTGCCGCTCGTAGAGAATTCCAATAGTCTAGCCTGGATGTAATATATACGGGGACCAGTTTTTCTGCAGCATTTTGGGACAGGATATTCCTGATTTTAGAAATATTATGTAATTGAAAGAGGGCAGTTCTTGAAGTTTGTGGAGTTTGTTGAGGACTAGTTATGATCAAAAATAACTCCTAGGTTTCTGGATTGTTCCTGATAATGTTACCGGGAGAAAGCATTTTCAGGGTAAAAATAATTGGTCCCAGCACCAAACCTTGTGGTACTCCATGATCAACACTGGTATGCATAGAGGACTCATTAACATATACAAAATAGGGACCAATCCTTAGATGCCAAAAAAAACTTTCCAGTCTTTGTATTAGTCATATTATTATGTGGTGTTCAAAAGTATCAAAAGCAGTGTTCAGATCTAGCAAGACAAGTACAGAGAAAGTTAGTATAACAATTTTAATGTAGAGGTGAACTGATAATAAGATAAGAGTAATTAAAACTTTTTTCTTCAATGCATCATCAATTTCTACAGGTTCTGTTCCTCGAGTTCCTGGTGTCTCTGGGTGCAGCGATTCTCACCATTGTGGCAATGCCACACTTGGACATTGTGACCAACGTGACAATACTGAATGGTGTTGCCGTCCTCTCTACTCTCCTACAAGTGGTCACTCGGTGCACTGCCAAGGAAATGAATCGTTTCCTGGTGCCGTCCATTGCTGCCTTCATGCTCATTTTGCTTGGTTACGTCCTGTTCCTCTTCTTATACATTATGAAAGATCCTACTGATATCAAGATGGCCATTTGGGTGGGTCTGGCTGTTGGTGGATCCTTCTTGGTGTCTTTGAACTGGTGGGAGACCTACTTCAGACTGATCAGCGAGAATAGCAGCTCCGTCTTCCTCAAGGACCTGTGCAGAGACATGACAAAGTGCCAGAATATGCTGCAAATCATCTCCAGCCTGCTCAGGATCACAGTGACCGCCTGTGTGCTCGGAGCCTACGTCCCTCTGTCCAAAATGGACTGGGACATAGTGAAGTCTATCCCGAGGCGTGAGACAAAAATTATAGCCATTATCATTGGGGTCCAGCTCATCTCCTCTGCCCTCTGCCACTGGTTTGCTGTTGCGGCCTGCAAAATGCACGCCCTGCGACGATGCTTCATCCTGCCTTTGTATCTGGCCTCTTTGGCCGTCATGGCTCTGCTCATCATCCCTGTTATCGTTTACTATCAGGAATACAGAATAAGTCTGAACGGGACAAGCATCAACTTCACAGGCTACTGCAATGACATTGTAGATGGAAGAAACCACAACTTGAATGGCAGTGTGTTCCCACATCTGGTTTTGGATGTTACACACACTCTGTGCTTCCTGGACATGTCAAATATAACTGACATTGGCATACTGACAGGTAATAAAGTAGAGCCTCGTATAGGTTACAATGCAATTTTGTCAAGTTATACATATTTTAAACTAAAAGGTTGAAGTTAGTGTTGTGTAATGTATGTGTTTTTATCCAAGTAGCGTCACCAGACCAAAATCATGGAGCCATTGCTTTAAACTTTGGATCACGATATATTTTTGTTTTTCAACAAAAAATAAAAGGACCAAAAACTCTGTGTTAAACAGGTTCAGCAGTGTCCTGGTGGCTCGGTCTTGTGTTGGCCACTCTTCATGTGTGGTACCTCAATGTGTATCGTATCCAGAGGACCCAAGACCTGTTCATCAGGAGGCTGTATGAAGGAGCCTTTATTGAGCAATCCCTGCTCCTCAACACACGATTCAACATCCAACAGACCACAAACAGAATGAAGAAGTGCTTGTGGTGTGTATGTAGGAGTAGTTCTTTATTTTGGTCGTCACAATAAGCATTGTAAGCATTTTTGGCTGGTTAGTTTAGGCTAAGTTGGAGTTACATTGTCTCTAAACAATGTTTCTCAAATTTGTTAATCTTGTCAAATTTTAGGGCATCTGAAACTGCAATGGTGTATCTGTGTGCGACCATGTGGCACGAGACCTACGAAGAGATGATGAACATCATTATATCAATATTCAGGTGAGTTACACAGACTCCTTATGCAGGACATTTATATGATATATCATCTTCCCATCCCTCTAACTATTTCTGTTGATTTCCTGATGTAAATACTGATTTGGTAGTTCTGGAGGAGTTCGAAGTTTCTTCCTTTACATTGTTTCAATAGAATTTGATCCTTGCAATTCAGATTCAGAAATGCTACATATAGTGAAAAAGTGAATTTGAGTTCATTTGAGTGCAAGAAAAGTCTGTAAATTTCCTTAAGTCAGTTATTTGTTGCTGTCACAGGATTTTTTTCTCCGCAAGAGTTTGTGTCGTTGGGCTAAACAATTTTAGAAGTATTCTATTTAGAAGGCCAAAATGTATTTTATCACAGTGGAGTTCCTATTTATGTTTCTATGAAAACTGCAGACTGGACAAGTACAGACCAAAGAAAGACCCAAAGTTCAAAGATTTCACCTTTGAAGCCCATATCTTCATTGATGATGCATTCAAACCAGTCGAGGGGAGTCGGGGGCGTCACCTCAACAAATATGCAAAGAACCTTGTTGAAATCCTCTCAGAAGTTTATTGGTAAGATACATGTTTACAGTTGGTCTACAGTTACGGTGCATTTTAGCGTTAGGTCTAAAAAGTGACATCCACTTCTGAGCTGACAGTAATGTTTGGCAGTACACCAGAGAAACACATTTTTAAGAAAGTACAAATTACAATCAAAGTATTCTTTCATTCACTGTCATCAGCATCTTCAAAAACATCGATAAAAAGTTCTTCAGAAAGCAGCAGCACATCCCTGATCAGAAGATCATAAGGACACCGTATGGCGGTCGTCTTGTGGTCAGAATGCCTCACGGGAACTATATTGTGGTTCACTTTAAGGACAAAGAACTCATTCGTCACAAGAAGAGATGGTCTCAGGTTGGAAAATAATGACTTGTAGACCTCAGAACAATTTACATGTACTATTTAAAATTTACTTCAAATTTAGAAATGTGGTGTTTTCAAAATTTTCTAACGCAATATTGGAACATTTTTCCATTTCTAGCTGAACAGTGCTTGAACACTTGAAGAGTGAGAAAGTTTTGTCAATTGTTACTTATTATTTTCCAGATCATGTACCTTTACTATCTTTTGGGCTGGAAACTCATGACAAAATATTATGCACGCTGGCAGAAGGGAGAAGACGAGACGAAGTTGAGAGCAGCACTCCAAGTAAGATAAGAGAAACATATAACACGTTTCTTCATAACAATATTTCTAAATAATACCTGTAAATCAGATCTAAAATGTGCCTGTTTCTCCAGAAAGAGAAGCACAACACCTACCTCCTGGCTTTAGATGGGGACACAGACTTCCAGCCAACTGCTGTGATGTTGCTCATCGATCGTTTGAAAATGTACCCACGTGTTGGGGCAGTATGTGGCAGGATTCACCCCACTGGATCAGGTTGGCCCATTGTACATTTTTAATAAGACAAGATAGAGAAAAAAACAACCAAATACAACATAAAATGACTGTCCAATCATTTGAACAAATACCTTTGCCATAGATCAACCATTGCAACTGTAAAGCCAACAGTGACTAGCACTGGACCGACATTTGTGTCGATGTTTACATTACCTCTGTTTTTCCTCTACAGGTCCTGCAGTGTGGTTCCAGAAGTTTGAGTACGCCGTCAGTCACTGGCTGCAGAAGACAGCGGAGCATGTGATTGGCTGCGTGTTGTGCAGCCCCGGCTGCTTCAGTCTGTTCAGAGCAGAGGCGCTGATGGATGACAACGTGATGAAGAGATACTCCACCAAGTCCACAGAGGCGAGACACTACATCCAGTTCGACCAAGGTAACAGATATTGTTCACAGGACTTCCTGTCTCTCACTCAGTCTTGGGGATAGCTTTCACACTCTGCCTCTTTATTTTCTGTTCCCTGAAGGTGAGGACCGCTGGCTGTGTACTTTACTACTAAAGCAGGGATGGAGAATTGAGTACAATGCAGCATCTGATGCTTACACCAATGCACCTGAGGACTTCAAAGAACTCTACAACCAGGCGAGTCCTGCAGCTAATCAGAACATTTCCATTAACATGATGATGGCCACAATGATTTGACAAATTGATATATTTGCTTCCGATATTCAGAATCTACATATCAGAATCATCCATGAATGTGGACCTCAATGGTTCCAAGTTCAGTCAGGCTAATGATTTTATTATCTTCAGCGTCGGCGATGGGGACCGTCCACGATGGCTAATGTGGTGGATCTGCTGGGCTCAACCAACATAATTTCCAAGAGGAACTCATCCATGTCCAAACCCTTCATGTTCTATCAGCTCTTTGCCATCACCTCAGCCACCCTGGCCCCTGCCACCATCTGCCTGATGATCGCAGGTCAGCGTTTTGTGTTTGAAAACATCATCTCTGCACATAGAACTTTTTGTGAACTTTTGAGATAAACTGGACGTCACTGGACTATTTTACAGATATTTTAATTGTATTTGAAAAAATTTGTATTTGTGGTCTCCAGGTAGTTTGACTTTCATCTTTAACATGGAAGCCAACGCTGCCCTGGTCCTGGCTGTGTTACCTCCTCTCATTTACCTGATTCTCTGCTTCAAACTGAAATCAGACACTCAGATCACTATTGCAGCAGTCTTGAGTATCATATATGCATTCATCATGTTGGTGGTGACAATGTCCATCATCGGTAAGTTCTATTCCAACACGTATAACTTTATACAGAGTCATGTGTAGCTACTTTATTTAGACTTTGTAAAATATTTTTAGATGTGCTGCTTAAAACTGCTTTCATTCCAAAAAACGCTCCATTCCTTTATCTTTCGTCAGGCGCAATGGTGAGGGACCAAACCATCCTGACACCCAGCAGCATTTTCGTCATCTCTATGGCCATTATTTACATCATCACTGCGATAATGCATCCTCAGGAAATCCAGCTGGTATTCTATGGTTTTCTCTACATTCTCTGCATCCCCAGCGCCTACCTCCTGCTTACCATCTATTCCATGGTCAACATGAACAATGTGTCCTGGGGCACCCGAGAGACAAAATCTTCTGCTGGAACGCCTGCAGACACCACCACACAAACAACAGCTCAGAAAGGTAGATACCAGGTTATTTAAAAAAAATAGTGGATTTTCATGCCACTCACGTGCAACAATAGACCAGTATTATTGTTTGTGCTGACTGAACTGAAGATGATCATCGCTTTTGCAGCCAAAAGCATCTTCCAACGACTCTCCTCGTGGGCCAAATGTTGTAAAAAATCCAACAAGAGATCTGGAGGTGGGCAGGATGAACTGGTCACAGAGTTCATATATCCTGAACCCCAGCCCCAAAACACTATTGTGGAAGACATTAGGATCCCAGAGCAAGAACAAAGGTACGTTTTGAGGGTAGAACATCAATAAAAATGTAACGTGTCAGTACTACATAGTGTGAGACAATACTAATAATTTTTTGGATTGTGTTTTAGGCAAGTGAAGCCTGTTATCAACTCTCCTGCCCTATGTACGTCCAAACACTTTTGAAAATATCAACTTGATTATTTTGCTATAAAATTCCTGCACACTTGCAAATGTGATGTTATCTAATATCCTCTTGTCTTGCTCTTGTCTCCAGCTTGGGTCACACAACTAAAGAATGTTGTCAGTGACATGCAGCTGCAGGAGGACTCCCTCGACCAGGTGTGTTTGTCTTACTTAATCATGTTTGCGTGATAATTTGCCTCTAAATCACATTGTAATTGGCTGTATGTATCATTGATCTAATTCAGTAAAATGATGTTTGACATATTCAGTTTCCCAATTCAGGTGAAATATGATCTCAACATTCTCATTGGGTTTTTTTTGTTATCTTCTGTTTCAAAACATACACAAATATAATGTGTACTACAAATAGGACATTAGTGACACTACACAAATACTTCATAATCCAAGCGGTGTAATATGTTGCTAACACTCTGAGTAATGTTGAATGTTGGGATACAGCAGTAGATGTGTACATAAAGCTTGTTTCCTGCCATATCTATATTAGAATAGTTATTTGAAAGAGTTGCTGTGTTCCCCTGCAGGAGGAGGAGCACTTCTGGAAAGAGCTTCAGGAGAAGTACCTACAACCTCTGGTCGATGACAAAGAGAAACAGGAAAAGATAACCAATGACCTGCGAGAGCTAAGAAACAAGGTCGGTTTGGGCAGCTGAACTATTTTACATGTCTAATTGGACGTCACTGTTCAGTTAGTCTTAAATGAATGCTTTCTTTCTCATTACACACAGATAAACTTTGCCTTCTTCATCATGAATGCTCTGTGGCTAGTGGCGACATTTACCCTCCAACTCTTGAATGTACCCATCATGGTCCCCAAGCTCAGCCTCAACCTCGACCTTACCGGACAATATATACCAATTGATCCCATTTCCTTCATGTTCATTTTGGGATTTGCCTCATCGGTTGTGATCCAGTTCTTGACCATGTTTTACCACAGGTGACCACTTACATCAAATTACTTTTTTCCTTTGATCTGAATTATGTTCTGTTAACATTTGTATAAAATCTAACATTCTTGTTCTATGTTCATCCAGAATCTACACTCTGATCCATTATGTGGCCTTTTTGGACACAGAGCCCAAAGAGCAAAAACCTGAAACAGAAGAATCAGACCTGCCAGGCAAAATGGTATTTACAACTATTAGTATTATTACTTTAACTGCTAAAAATAAATGACACACCACATAGTGGTCTGAATACAATAAATAATACATAAATAAATCAATATACAAATTTCTTAAATGAAAAAAACATAACTGAACAACTTTCTTTATATGGGGTTCAAAACACAAGCCCTGGTCAAAGACTACCTCAAAACTTCTGGCCGGGGGCTTAACATAATTTGCTAGTTCACCTAGGTTTACAATGATTTGAGTTCATTGAGCTGGGGGCCTACAATGTGGGATTTAGTTGTCGGAAGTTGTGAGAAATCTAGTGCATTATATCAGCAATGCATTTGGGAAGGTTTGCAATGTTAGACTGGTCACTGGGTCTGATTGGGATATAGAGCTGTGTGTCATTGGAGTAACAGAGAACTTATATATTCTATTTGCGGATGATATTAACTTGGGGAAGCATATAGATTGAGAATAGAATGGTACCTAAAATGAAACCCCCATCCAGGGAGCTTTTACTACACCTGCTGTTGGTCTAAAATTACTGTTGTAACAACTTGCAATGATACTAGAACAATTGATAATATTAATTAAAATTCAAACACTTCTGCCTCTAAGGGGCAATATAAACAAGGTAATTGCATTTGGGCTTCGAACTCCTGCATACCAAGGGGCATATTAAAAACCTTATTTCCATGTGTTTGGGGGATCAAGCTGAATCTCCTGGTATAGCCCATTTCTCGGGCGGGGCTGACGTTGGGAGGTTTGGACCCTGCTTACAACTGCTTGCAGTTCTAGTTATACTTGTTTTTACCGAAGCATTTTATTATAGTTTGGGTTAAAAAGTAGTGAACCTGTCCTTTAAAGAGAACCTGGCTTTGTGTTTCATAATCATGTGGTAGATCACACAGCATTTATTGTAATTCTTAGAATTCTTAGACTAATCTCCACAAAGGACAACATGAGTAAAATTTACCTCACCTCAATCATTCAGGCTTGCGCTATGAGAGATGCTACTGACAGAAAAGAACGTATTTTCTCTGTAAATCTTTTTTCGTTAATTGCTGAAGCCAGCGGTGACATCCAGTCCAACTGCATCATCCTGCTACTGTGTAACTTCTGACTAGTCACCTGCAAGAAGTGTTCCAGGTGTGATGGAATTTATGAGCACTGATGTTCCTTCAATCTCCTTTCAGGTCAATGCTGCGTCTAACGCCAAACACAACTCCCAAGAAGAGTCAGAAGCTGACGACAGTGATGATGAGTTCGCCTTGAGGTCGTACAAGAAATGGCATGAGGGAGAGACAATGGTGTAAATACAGACTCTCTCCAACACATTTTAGCAAGTTGAAATATCCACTGCATGTGAGATTTTACAAAAATGTCTTTATTGTGTGTATTATTATTTATTTCTACTTGTCATAATCATCAGGTAATAAGGGATTGGTAAGTAATTACTTAGTATTGTGTGACTTTACTTGAGGGGGCACAAAGAGAGCAACTAATAATTAATAGTAAGTAGTTTTGTGCCGCTCAGAAGCTGGTTCACTGTTAAAAGGAACAATTTATATGAAATACTGTTTTTTAGCAAACAGTATTTCATATAATTTTTCAAACAACTGCAGTCTGTGAACATGAACTTGCTACTGTGTTTATTATGCGTAAATATCGTGTAATGCATTTTTATCAACTGGAAACAATGGCAAACCTGGCTAGTTTTAAACAACAGATGGCCGTGCACGTGACTTGTAACTAGAATGCGTTTAACTTGGTTGTGACGTCATTGCCAGCTCTGACTTTTGAGGTAAGTACCAAGTCGTTGCCAAAATTCTGAAACAACATGGTACTTGTTTTTCTACAGTACCGTAGGTACAGAGGATCCAACATGTGGAAGATGTCGACTAGTGCAGCCACAGCGACAGCTCCATTGGGGTGAAGTTAGTTTAGAACTTCAATAGTCCATATCAAAGCCTCAATCAATGTTTTAAAGTTTTGATCATCTCAAAATCATCAAAGGCGACAATGCAGATTGCGGCACAAAGAACTGAATGTCTGTTCAACACACTTGAAACTGGCTCTGTTCAAAACAGAAGTTAGTTGCCTCACTGTCTCACTAGACAGGTGCTTCAGAAGGCATTACTTTCGAGTGAAGGCATCTCTATGAACAAAAACTAATATTTGTAGATGAGTTTCGACTTGTTTGTCTGCCATCTTGTCCACTTTGTGTCAGCTACTGCTGGCACACAGATTTACGGTTAGGCTAATAAGCAGCATTGAGTCAGCCAGTAGTGTAAGGTAGTAACAATGGGACCATATCAAGGTATTAAATTTAACAGTTCTATTTATGTGCTTCTCTCCAACACTGACACACGCTGCTGCTACAACAGCTATGCTGTGCTGCGCACGATGCAGCAATATAAAGTGATTTTAGAGTCCAGCTAACCACACACAGTTCATCACAAGCACCTCCATACAATCCAACAGGTGCTCAGTGGCGACCTGACCCCGAAATGATAACAGCCTTTAAAACAGCGGCACAGCAGCCACACCAAATGAAAATGCACTTGTTTTTACCTCTTTGAATGTCATCCAGCAATCCTTGCATTGAGCAAAATCTTTGACAGTGTTCTTAGAAAAAAATCCAAAACAAACTTATTTGGGAGCTTTGCGACCCTCTCCTCTTCTTCTTTATTTCCTGTCTCTTCTTGAAACAACTTTTATATTTCAATAGCACGACTGCTAGCTTGCACGTGTCTACAGATTTTGCTATTCCACATGGTTTCACCTTGCTCTTGTTGTATTGTTACATGATTAAATAGAGACTAAAGATTGGGCAGCCATACACATATCACCTAGCAACCACCATTGCATATCTAGCTTTGTGACACAAATATAAAAAAGAAAATAAGACAATATTCATTCTGTCAAATATGTGGAATCTAATTTTTTATACTTGGCTCCAACACTTTGCTTGCTAAAGACTTTTATGGGTAAAACTCCTGACCCCACCACAAGGGAATATGCACATATAAGGGTATATATACCACGTGATCTCACTTCTCATGTAGTAGTAGGATCGTCAATAACTTTTAAGTTACAACTCAACATAGAAATCTCAAATCACTGCTAATCTAGATAGTGGCCACCCTTAAACATCTCACATATGTGAGTTTGCAAACATTAAGAAAATGAATGAATTAATAAATAATGCTCATTGCAAGGATGTAATTTCAATAGATTCCTCATTTACCAATAAATTGACATCAAACAGCGTCTCACAGAAATGTTCACAGCTGTTAGTTGCTCTTTGTAATGTTCAAATGTTTTATTAAAGGAGTGTATTTTGAAGTATATGGGATTTATTGGTTTGCTTTAGTTTTTTACTGTGGTATCAAATTGGGTATCGAGAATTGTGGAATTTCACTGGCATTGGTATTGTCCAACCAACAGTCCAAACCTCAAAATTATCACAAAATCTAAAAATAAAACAAAAATACTTATAAGAACAAGCAGCCAATATTAACATTTGTGAAGCTGGAACCATGAAATGCTTTTATATGAAAACTGACTTAAACAACAACAGTCACTAATTTATTAGTCGTCTTAGTTGTTTAAACTGTTGGGTAGTTTATTTTATAACAAAACATCATATTTTATAAACTTTTAATATGCTTTATGTGTGAAAATCTTAATTTGCAAAGAAAGTACTAACTAAAGCGGACAAATGTAGTAAAGTAAAAAGGACAATATTTCCCTCTGAGATGTCGTGGAATAGTAGTAGAAGTAGAAATTGGCATGAAAAGAAAAGTCTCAAGTACAAGCACCTCAGATTTGGTCTTAAGTACAGTACTTGAGTAAATGTACTTAGTTACTGTCCACCACTGCTGATGCAACGCACAGGTAACACTTGAAAACTCCCAAGATATTCAAAAGGCTGTGACATTTTCCTACTTGCTAGCTTGCAGAGTGCAGTTGTGAAGTCTTTGCTTTAATTTATTCTTTCTGTAACTACATGCCCTGGATGCTGTACTCTCAACTTTTGATGTATTGTCTGATGAATGCTGATGATTGTGAAAGTGTTGTATCGATTACATGTTTTTGAGGCGATTGTTTGATTTTGCCAGAAGAGTCGGGGTTTTCTCAATGTAGTTTAAAGTGTATGTTTTGTGTTTTAAGTTTTGAGAATATGGGTGAAGGTTTCAATAAATGTGTCTTAGCAATTGCTGTGTTCTCAATTTTTATTCACGAACTAGCTGCGTGCAGTTGCTTTACAAGCTCTCTGGTTCCGCCGTCAACAACACGCCCCCTCTTCACGACCTGGCTGCACGCAGTTCCCACCTCGCCCTCTAACAAGCTTCCGGGGCACGATCCCAATGACACGCCCCCTCTTCATGACTCCGCCACGAGCAGTTAACCTCTTGTCTTGTAACCAGCTCTCAGGTTCATACCTCCAAGCCTACTCCTCCTGCTTTACCGATTATTGGTGATTCTATAATCAGCATCCCGTCAGACATTTTTTACATTTGTTATAATCTTATTTGAAGTGGAGTCAATTAGAGCCTCTTCTAGCCCCAATGCCTCTTACTTTGAGGTCCCTCATAAGATACTTTTAACCAGTTTTATCCCATTAGTCTGAGCTTTTAGAAAAGGTTCTTATGAAAAGTAATGGAATCTTTCATGCCCTGTTTGCGTCCTGTTTTTAACAGTTCCTCGTCTCAGATCGCTCCCTCCCTCAAAACTATAAACCAATTTCCAAGTTTCCATTTATATCAAAATGTTTAGGAAACATGTTTCTTTCTGCACTGCAAAATAGAAAGTTTCAATCTGGTTTCTGGTAGTATCACCGCACTGAGAGTGTCATCCTTTTAAGTGTTGCTGATGATGGCATGTGCTCAGTCCCTGTACTGACCGTAGTGCAGCATTTGAGATGTTCGATCACAACATCCTGTTAGACAGACTGAGGCACTGGGTGGGGATCTCTGGTACAGCCTTAGAATGGTTTCATTGTTTTTTCTCTCTGCAACCAACTATTTCTCCTCCTAATGTATACACCTGCTTTGAAGGCAGAGGTAGAGTTCAGAGGTCTGTTGTCTGTTCCAGAGGCGAGGCTAAACAGTAAAGGGGATAGAGCATTTGCAGTCAGGGCCCTGAGTCTCTGAAACTGCCTGCCCGAGGAAATCGGGTCAGCTGAGTCAGTGAACTTCTTTAATTCCCTTCTTAAAACATTTTATAGGAGAGGCTTTCCTGATTGTACTTTACTTTCAACTGTATGTTCTTTGTAGCATGGATTTGAAAAAGTTTTTAATAATAAAGATTATTACTACTACCAGTCACTCTGAGACATAAGCTATTTCCAATACATATTAGCTGTATCCCAATCAGACCCAGTGACCATTAACAGAATAAAATATAAACATGTTTTTTTAGGAAAGGAGCATTGTTGCATTGCAAGATAGCTGTATTTGCTTAAATGAAATCTGGCAATTGAATATCATAGTAGCTATGACTATCTCTATTTTGACTGATTATTTAGACACAGATGCTGAAAAAAATCACTGTAAATTTAACAATTCTGTGAAGCACTTTCTTTTGAAAAATTCCACGTAATTATTATTAAATAATACTGAATTTAGTGATTCAGCAGGGCAGTTCCATTTGTGGCTTCAAGCAAGTCCATTTCCATGCGTTTGCACTCCTTACTTCTTCGTTTTACTTATAAAAACACTGCATAGTCTGCCCCGCGACCCTGTATGCAGGATAACATAGTTGACAATGGATGGATGGATGAATGGTCTGCTTAAATGTTTTGTGTGTAACATCCTGACACCCATGTCTCTCTGCAAATCCAACATGTTTCAAATTAAGTAAATACATTGATGTGTTCCTTATTTTACTCTGCTTCATTATGTTTGGTAAGATAATCATTAATCTATATCGCACAGCAGAAACAGTTAATTTATATGGACAAAGTTCACAGATTCACACACATCCAAGGAGGGTTAAGTCAAGGGCAACAGAAATGAAGATATATGAAGGTGTTTTGTCTCTCATGCAAGAGTCTTCTCAGGTTAGTTCCTGAACTGAAGAAGTGTCTTGCTGTATGGATTAATAGTATGAGCTGGGTACTTCCAGTTGTAGGTTTGCTAATTTTATTCCTCAAAAAACTGTGGTTAATTAGACTTTTACCCACTCAAATTGTCATGGTTGGGGTTTGCAAGGTGGCAAAGTGGGCCACAGCGTCAAGCCACCAGACCCACAAGGGTCCCAAAATGCCAGAGGTTAACTGCATTACCATAAACTAACTGGCACAGAAACCCTGGGGCCAGGTAGTGTTAATAAAGCACAAGAGTCATTTCCAAAGGTGGACTGTCTGACTACTGGTAGTTTTGAAACTGCAAATCAATAGGTATGTGGCTTGACTGGTTACTGACCAAAAGGGGGCGAGGTGGGGCCGTTGTAATATGATTGGTTATGTCAGTCAATCACACATTCCACATCAGAACAAAATGAAATGGTTGAAACACGGACCTTTCCTCTAGCTTCAAAATGGATGCTGCTTCATGGATAAAAAACAACTGCCTCAAAATTGATTTTGAGATTTACTTTTGGCTTGTCTAGGTGAAAAGATTATGTTACATATTGACTGATGCCTACTTTGCTGAATGGCCCTGACTAGTTCTAGGACTAATGTACTTATAAAGGTATATTAACATCCTAGCATTATGTATTAATATTAAATAATACTAATCGCCTCCTCCATATAAAAGCAACACATACATGTGCATGATAACTGTCAACTGTTAATGCCATACTTTTTCTTGTATCAGCAAAGTGAGTGAGTAAGTTAGTGAGCGAGTTTGTGGAGCGATAAACAAAAAAGTGTACAAGTCACAAACTGGAGAGTTTATGTATTGATAATTTTAGCAGAAATAAATTGTAGTTTATATCTTTTCAAATAAATGTTTCATTGAAATGGCCTCTAGGGTGTTTTGTTGCACTCTAGTTGTTGATTGTCAGAAGCTTGCCGAAGTGAGTATTTGTCTAAATATGTGTACAGTTTTATGTGAGGCTTTGATTTCTAGTTTGGTTGTACTGGATGATTGCATTAGATTGTTGTTGACTGATACTCATATACACATTGCTGTTTAAAGGTTTTGTTTGACTGATATGTTAAAAATTAATACTCATAATTACACTTTTTGTTGTGTATGCAAACAGAGCTGCATCAAAATTAAAGGTCCCCATGCAAGATCAATAGTTGATTAAATATTTGTAACTGAAAATGTTAGGTTTTTTTCGTGCACATTAGTTCAACAAATATAACACAAACTTTGCTACATAGAGCCAATCCAAACACAATCAGAGCGATTAGGTATTCATGTACTTTGCTGATATGGGAAACATTTCAAACAAATTAAAGGAAAAATAAGGCATGTTTTTATCATATTTATACATTTTATATATATATTTGTTAATGTATTTATGTGTTCAATTCAATTTCAACCAAATTTTTAATGATGAATAAATAAACATGTATATATTTGTTGACCTACTGTGCACAAAAACAACATTTTCAGTTACAAATAGTTAGTCAGCTATTGGTCTTGATTTTAATTTAAATTGAATCTAGATTTTAGTGAGATTGTAGTCAGCACATTCCCATTGGACAATCTTGTCAAAATTGTATTTATTTATCAATGTTAACCGCTTAAATTAATTATATAATTCAAAAACTGATTTTAGATGTTTTCTAAAGGAAACCTGTAGCTAATTTCAGGGCCATCAATGTCTGTATGGAAATCAGAAGATTAAGGGATTGAATTCTTGAATTCTAATCTACAATATTTTTTGAAAACAACATTTTCAAAAGCCTTGAACTGTGAGAGGTTGGAGCAGAACTATTGACTATGAAACAGTGAGGTTGTGCAGAGTGATGCATTATTGTAAACAGTATAGCTTACATGCTCAAAACAGCAAAGGAGGTGTGCTCTACTACTAAACACAAGACATGACTTGTTAAGAATCAATTGATCCTACTAATCTTTGATGAAGGTATACTGTTACTGAAACGTCAACTGTAGAAATCTACGCTGCATAACCATTATTATAAAGTGCTCCTGCCTTCTTTGTTATTATACTTGTTTTTACCAAAGCATTTTATTATAGTTTGGGGTAAAAGTATTCATTGTTATTCTTAGAATTGATTTTAATCTCCACAAAGAACAACAAGAATTTACCCCACTTTAATTATTCCGCTATGTGCTACGTGAAGTGCTAATGACAGAAAAGAACAAAATTGCTGTAAATACTTTTCTTTAATTACTGAAGCCAGCTGGGAAATCCAGTCTAACTGCACCACCTTCTGCTGTGTCACTTCTGACTATCATCTGACTTCAACTCTCAGGAGGAGTCGGAACATGACAACAATGATGATGAGTTCGCCTTGAGGTTGTACAACAGAAGTCAGGATGGAGGGACTCCAAAATGTCTTTATTTTGTGTATTATTATGTATTTATTTAATCATTTGAAGTTATTGTACTAATAATAATATTTTCTGCTGTGGCATCACTGGTCGTTGTCTTTAACGCATTTGGATGCGTTACACTGTGTTTAACACATCTTGGATGTCAAATCTTTTTGGAAATGTATTACTTTGCTTATCTAAAGTTTTATCTTTATTGCCCTAGTATAATTTATAATATAGTATAATATAGTGTTTCCATAAATAAGTTCATAAGACATTTTGTATATTTGTTGTCTTTTGCCCTTATGGTCAGTTGGTTGTAATTACGGTAACAAAATGCCTAGTTGGTTAAAATAACTTGTCTTGAAGGTGTTCTGTGATGGATAGAAGAGAAGTTGTGAAGCAAGTGGCACATTGGCCACCAACTAAACAACAAGCAATACCAAATATCAGATCATGATCGTTGTTTCACAATTTTTACACATACCCTCTGGCAACCACAGAAGTAGCCCTGCCTGGAAGCAATAGTTGTTTTAGGGGTGAAACATATCACAAATCTGCATCTGTGTAAAACTACCAAAACCCTAAGGTCATCTGGGATGAGTGCTTAGAGTTCTACATTCTTCCTCTGTTTGCAAATGCAAATGATTGCAAATGCATCTTACCTGCATCAGGGAAGGTTTCTAGACTTCCTCCGGCACTGATGAACAGAAGCAACCAGAGAGAAAGAAAATCAGAGGAATCACCTCAATGAATATGCAGAGAAAAAACACCCATCTGCATCTAACACAGACGTTTTAATGATGTATATCATGGTTGGTGATTGCGAGGCTGAATTATGGACATGGCAAAACCTGTCAATGTTTAGAGCTACCAGACCTACAG